TGCAGAATAGACAGAAGAAAGAGGGAGCTGGTGAGTTTTGAATAAGGTGGTTATAACTAAAACCGTACCTAAAAGAGGAAGGCTAAAAATGTACGTTGGCCTATTTTAGAAACACCTTTTTAATTCAGGGAACAAGATCTAAGGACTGATATTCTATGTCTGTTATAAAGTTACTGGGGCTTCCTCTTTCACCAATCTTTCATTCACCAAGAAACTACTCCAAAAATTAGGGGAGGACTCTGGAGCTCTGCAGAGGAGCTGCGGTGGCTCAAGTGGTTAAGACGCTGAACTGCAGGCTGTGGAAGGTCAGTAGTTCAGCAGTTTGAGACCCAGGTGCCGCAAGACGGAGTTCCAGCTCCTGCCAACCTAGCAGTTTGAAAGCAAGAAATTGCAAGTAGATAAATAGGTACCACTTCGGTGGGAAGGTAACAGTTCCGTGTGCCTTGGTGTTTAGTCATGCTGGCCACATGACCACGGAAACGACTTCAGACAGTGCTGGCTCTTCGGCTTTGAAACGGAGATGAGCACCGCAATCCTAGAGTCGGATTCGACTGGCTTTCGAGCAAGGGAACCTTTACCTTTACCTGGAGCTCTTAGCCATTGCTGCAGCCTAGGAATCCAGGAGTAACAATGGAGTGCTTCAAACTGTACACATCTTCTTTCAGGGAACAGGTGAACCCATCAGTAGCAGGTAGTGTCACTGCCCCTTGCTCTGTAGTAGGACTGATCTGACCATATAGGCATTAATTGCATTGAGGGCTATTTCTTCATAAGTGAAGCAAACAGAATTATGCAGTTGAATAGGTATTTTAGTGATTTTTAGATGCATATAAAAGTTTTTTAGGCTTGTTCAGATGATGCTTCTTCACTGTTAGCTCTGCATACAGAATCCTGATCTTACCTTGATGTGTGAAGTAGGAAAATTTGCTGGTGGAACCAAGAATTATATGTAGCGCTTTCAACAGTTGGCATGAAGTGTGGAAGGTATAATTATAAGCAGTTTTATTTGTTTGTTTTTTCCTAATAAAGGGGAGCAAAAAAAATCTACCAGCCCTCGGGTATGTTCAGAAACATTTCATAAACTGCGAGAATTCTCTAGCAACTTTGAACAGCTGAGTCATTCAGAGATTACTCACGGAATCCAACTTGTGAATCTGAAAAAGGGTCAGCAGTCAGCGGCAGGAAACACTGACACTTTGTATTCCTCGAGAATCAATAAGGTAAGCAGTTTTCCAGTCTCTCATCAAAATGATTATAGTATTCTTTCAAATGGAAATGTATACTAAGGCAGGCAGTATTAGGGTTACCATATTTTGAAAAGCAAATAAAGGACATATTTCCTGACTGACTACTTCAAACAAATGATCTATGACAGATCTCATTTTAAATAGTAGGGGTATTTAAAATGAGATCTGTCATAGAAGCCTGCCTCCACTGCGGGACTATAGGGCAAAACAGACTTAGCCTCCCAACTCAAAAAGAGGACATTTTAATAAGTTTTTAAAGGAGCCCAAAAGAGGACATACACCAAAAAAAGAGGGCATGTTCTCTAAAAAAAGGACATCTGTAACATTTTTATTTTATAAGTCATACAAAGACAAACATACAAAAATACACAAGAAACCAAAAAGAGGACATCTAGTGTTCTATGCAGCAGAGAATTTTTAAACCTAGGAATGATCTTTGCAGTGTTTAACCACAGTTTACAGAGAGAATTTGTGATATTAACCCTTCTTGCTTCAGTAGTTCCCTCAGTCAATTAAAATTGCTTTTAAGTGCCTCTGGGTAAATTGATTTGGATGGGGTGGATGAGAAAGAATGGCTAAGACTACTTAGATGAATTTATTGGAATTATAGTATCTAGTCAGGCATTTATTACGGCAGCAAGCCATAGAACACACTTGCTTAAATATAGCATTCATAACGTTCATATAACTGAATTTAGGAAAGTAAAATAAAACTCTATAAAAATACAGTTGAGCGTAATAAAGTAAAAGAAGAACATAAAACAGACTATTAGGCAACTATTATTATATATTTGATTGTGTATTTCGGATGCAGTAGCATGCTACCCAAAATTTTGCCACAGTTTCAGTAATTGTCCAGTTCCCATCAATTAACAATCATCCCACCATATCTGTTATAAGAGGATATTTGTCACGGATCTTGTTATACCAGTTACATCTGAGCATCATGTGCTCAATAGTCTCTATCTCTCCTGAGCCACATCTGAGCATCATGTGCTCAATAGTTTCTATCTATCCTGGGCCGCATCGACAAAGTCTATATTCAGTAGGGATCCTTTTGAATCTGCCCTCAAGCATCGCGGAGGGGAAAGCCTCACATCTGGCTAATGTGAAGGTTTTCCTAAACTTGTGAGTATCAAGCTGTGATAAATAGGACATGGGTTGCAAGTGATATTTGACAGAATCTGGGGCTCTAAACTTAGGGCATCTACTGAGATCTGTCTGTCTCTTCATGTCCACCATTCTCTGTTTAGGGCTGATTTTGCTACATCCCAATGCATACTCAAAATCACTTGTGAGGAAAAACCAAGATCATATAATTTATTATGAACTGCTCTCAGCCATTTGGATTAAAAGTTGTTTGAGAGTAACAAGTGGGTTAGTCCCTGAAGATGGAAATTTAGTTTACGCCAGTACTGGAGTGAAGCTAAAGTAATTTTGGCTTCCATTGATATAGCACCTGTCTCTAGATGGATCAGTGTATTCGATACACACCTCAGGACCTGAAGTACTGCTCTGAGAAATTTGGATTGAATTTGCTCTAAGGGGGCAAAACTAGAGGAAGGAGGCCCAATAAAAGTGCCATAGAGCATCTGTCCAACTGCCTTTGCTTGAAAGAGTTTTTGGACAGCTGGCACATACTAAGCCCCTTTGGTGCGATAGAACTTAAGAATAGCATTGGCTGTTCTTTCACCTTGGGAGGCGACATACTGTATATGGGCTTTCCTAGCCCCATTTGATTGAAGGACCATACCTAAGTATTTAAAGCATAAAATTAATTGAATCTGTAGATTGTTCACTTGAAAAGAAAAGACAGTGGGTTGGGTCCCGCAATCTGCAGGTGCAAGGATTGCAGAATCTTCCCCACTCTCCCCTCCCCCCAGAGCCATTTTCAGTCCTTGGGAAAGTTTATCCCAGAGTTGATGGATGTGTATGTACCAGCATGTAATGATTCCCTGTTTAGTTTGTTAATGCTTTAGTAATTGGTTCTTATTTACCATATTGTGTCTCCGCTGACTAATGGTCTTCATTCTCCATTGCCTCTGTTTCTGTTCCCATGCGCTTCCCAGTGCTGCCTTGCCAGTCTGTGCTCTTAGGAAGTATGCCCTCATCATTACTCTGACATTACCTTAGTTATGTGCAGTTGACTCTCAGTATTTATTTTTTACATGATGTTATTTGGGGCTGGGTATCATGAGGTGCTGCAGAATTCCTGTTTTACTCCTGTTTTAACTTTCTATCTTTCATTTATGACATTACACTTTAGAGTTAAAATATTGGAATAGAATTGGGATCTAGATTAATTTCTTCATTCGTACTGGAAAATGTAATATGTCAATCAAAATAGGTCATATTATTCTATAGTAATCATATTTTTTATTTTTGTGTGCTTTTTCTTGTTATAGGAAGAAACATGCCTTCAGTTTAGCCAATTTTCTTCATCAAATATAAGTTGTGAAAACATTCAAAATACTTCTGATATGAGTCTCAATAAAAGAACCAAAAGTGTATATACACCACTTGAGCTCCAGTTTCTGGAAGTGAAAAATCAATATAAGGATGTTATTTTATGTGTTGAGTGTGGTTATAAGTACAGATTCTTTGGCGAAGATGCAGAGGTAAAATCTTTTTTTTAACCACCAGCATTGCTTTCTATTTACATGTTATTGTTGTTAAAATTACACATGATCCCTGTAAAAGTACATGCATGTGCTACAGTGTGAAAGCACCATGTGTGTCTGTCTTGATTTGGCCAAAGGAGGAAAGACTCTGAGGGTGGTGTCATGGCCTCATCAACTGCTGATTTCAGTGGTCTGGCTGACGTTCATTGAAGAGCGTATCTGCAGTTCAGACTACGGCATAACTATACCTTTGCAAGGAGGAATACAGATACTTTTGCATAAAATTGTATTCAATACAATATTGTAAAATTTATCTGTGGCATGCAGTTGATATTGGCAGGGAAAGTTAAAAAAACAAACCCAAACCCTGTCATGTGATTTGAGCTCCTGAATTTCCTGGCTGAAAAAAATCACAGTAATGGTAGCATTTTTCTTCAGCTTTATTGTTGGGGCTAATTCTTCAGGATTACTCTTATTCTTTTCATGAGTTGCTGCTTATTTAATAAACACCATGTGCTCACATAAAGAGATCTGTCAAAATGAATAGCTAATTGTTGTCATGCCTTGTAGGTTGCTGCTAAGGAACTGAACATCTATTGTCATCAGGACCACAACTTTATGACTGCCAGCATACCAACTCACAGACTGTTCGTTCATGTTCGGCGACTTGTAGCAAAGGGATATAAGGTTTTGCTCTAATCAGTTTCCTAATTCAGTGTTTTAATTTATTTAAAGAAATTATTTAACTATAAAATGTGTGCTTAAAGAAGTGTAATTTCTAAACCAAAATCATTCATTCCCTTTTGTATTTTATGTTTGTGTCCTGGTCCTTAGACCAGGGTTAAAATTAAGCCTAAACTGAAGTTGTATGTCTAATTGCACGCTTGTTTTGGAGAGTGTCAAAAAACACCTCACATTCTCAGCAAGTCTGTTCGACATGCCTTGAGAAATATCTTCGTTGGAATGCTGTTTTGTAAACTTTTGTTCTCTGCCTCAGCTAGTTGTCAGCACCATTTTTCTTCTATACTACCACTGCTATTAAATTTCACTGTGGTGGTATTCCATCAAATTTACTTATGGGCAGTGGTGCTATTATCAGAGCATATGGAGCACTATGATGTCATCAACAATCTCATGAGTTTTTCAGCCAGTCAGATGAAATGGCAGTAAAGCCAAGGATAGTGAAATCTGAGATGCATAATACTGAGAAGATGCTGCAGTTACAGGAACAAAAGGATACATAAATGATATTAGATTGGTACAAGAGTTAAGTGATGTGAAACTGCACCCGGGGTGGTCTTTCCTGAGAGAGAGACACCCCAAAAACAACTCTGAATCTCCACATGCAGTGCCCTCATAAAGCCAGGTTTAAACAGTGGGTTTTGCTGGGAGGCTAGGAGAACCACAACTTTGCTGGGAAAACTCAGGCCAAGTGAAGATTCTGCAGGCTGGCTGCACTGCCAAACATCCTCCATACAAGCAAACCCCCACCACTACCTCTCTCCTGTAAGCTCAGTCCAAAAGGACTAAGAATGGGCAAATCTCTGTTCTCGCCTCAGGTGTGTTTTACTGACCAAATGGCTAGTCTTTTGACTGTCAAATATATAGGCAGACAGGGGCAAAGAGCCCCTGGTCTGTGCTATTGTTATGAGTGAAGTATGTTGCATGTTTCTAGCCCCAACTTCTGTTTCACCTATATGTCAGGAAATACCTTTGGAACAATCCTCTCATTCTTCTCTCCATATATTTGTCTAAGATATCTGCATTCTTAAACCTATGCTAGACCTATCAAGGTAAACATTAACTCTCCATGTCTAGTGAATGGTCTCCCATTCAAGTTCATCCTGCCACACAATAAGAAACATCACCTCGTTTTTCTGGCACCAGGGAAACACCAGGCCACTCTATTGTTCCACAATGGACACTCCCAGCCCAACCATCCAGCACATGGCTATTGTGCAGCCAGACTCTTCCCCTCTGAAAGCTAACTGGTCCTACCTAGGGTTTGCCCCTCTGGATCCCACACCTCCATGGACTCCTTATTGGTGTAGAAAATCTATTGTTCTCACCTGAGACCAGCCCCCAAGTCGTCCCATTGGTTTGCATTGTTTTCCAATATCTATATCTGTCAGAGCACACGGCTTCAGATTTTGTGTGTCTGCCCCTGATGCCAACTGGCAGTTCACCTCTAAACCTTTGGTTTGGGCCATAATCTCATCTCCATGGACCCCTGCACGTCAGGACAGGTTGTATCACCCCGTGACAGACCCCTCTATTTGCTATCAATCACCTCTGCTTTCTTAGTTCTGCATTGCTTGCTCTTTTTGAATGCTTAGTGTGCTTGTAATTAGGGAATTTTTTCAATAAAACCTATTTGAAGAATAAATTAAATCTGGAGTCTTCCTGCTGTTCCAGACCTTGGTCTACAAGTGGTGTGTGATCCCTGGACTCCTCTGGTCCCCCCTGCTGCAGAGCTAATTTCCGAAATAATCAGCCAGGCCATTGGTGGTAACAGGTCATCCAGCAAGTTTCCATTGCAGAGTGAGGGTGTGGACCTGGGGTTCCCAGATCCTACTCTGACATTCTAACCATTACACCACTCTGGCTCTTGGTTTTATAAGAATTCTTTTGTATTCGAAAATTGTACACTGCCTCTGGAACATGGAGCAAGGAAGCTGCAATTGAACTGATTTAATAAGCGTGCTTTTAACCCCCAATATATCTTTAATGCTATGTTTTTAACATTCAATTTGTTGTTTAATTGAAATATTTGTCCTAGTGCTTTACATTATTTGTTTCTTTTACAGGTAGGAGTTGTAAAACAAACTGAAACAGCTGCCTTGAAGGCTGTTGGAGAAAAGAAAAGCTCCCTCTTCACCCGAAAACTAACTGCTTTGTATACAAAGTCTACAGTTCTAGGAGAAGATATCCTTATCATGCATACATTAGTATCTTCATATTCTTTTGATCAGGAGATATATGGTTACAAAATAACATTTTAGGTCATATTCTGTTTTCATTAATTATGAAATTTATTTCCCCATGGCTCTCTTACAATTGTTACAGAAACCACTTGTTTTTAATTGTAATGTTTCTTTAGATAATTTTATTCAATATTAATGTATTGCATTGTCTTCATGCCTCCGTAGTTCCTCGAACTAGAATAATCATTCTTCTCTCTCCAATTTTCATATGTGAGCATGCATTATATGCAAAAATAATATGGCTATATTTAGAGTACTATGTATAGTTCTGGTTATCTTGTCTATAAAAATGCTTTCTTTAAGCCAGAGAAAGGCAGTGAGAAATAAAGAGGGTTGGAGCATTCTCCCAATGAGTGACTGCTAAAGCATTTATTTATTTAGGGAAGTCATAAGTCACCTCACCAGAGATCTGCTTGAGGTGGCTTACAAGTAAAAACAATACCGTAAAACATAAAAACAAAATTTAGGGCTCCTTACCATTATTTATTTATTGGGATTTATATCCCACCCTCTTCTGCCAGCGGGCTCATGGCGGGTTACAATACACTAATAAAAACAGTGTCCATGCAATCCAATTAAAAAAACCAAGAAGGATGACTAAATGAAAATGTAATGGACATGTATAAAAATGGGTGTTTTTGACCTGTCATAGTACTAGAATTCGATATGAACATAATTAACAATCAGTTCTAAGATTGAACAGAGAAAATAACTTTCATCCAGTACGCAGTCATCAGTTGTTGTTTTTTTCAGCTGCCGGGTTCTTTGTATTGTTTAATTATAGCTAGCGTGACACCAGTGTGTCTAATGGTATGTGCTGTTATGTAGCACTCTTGGAAGCTTCCCTACAGAATCAATTAGCACAGCATAGTGAATATTATGTAAATAGGCAATCAAGAGATTACTTCAGTTACTGATAAGAACTATACCGCAAGTACTTCCTTAACATCCATTACATGTGAATCCTTTACTGAAGCTTGATCATCTTTCCGATGCTGAGGAAGTATCATCTGATACCTGTGATAATTATCTCCTCTGTATCTGTGAAAGCAAAGAAAGTTTCAGGGAGAAGAGGCAGGACAGTAGTATAGGTATAGTGGTAAGTAGTCTTGAGGAATTTCTGTGGTCTCAATATTTATTTGTTGTGTAATTCATTTCTAGAAGTGTTTGTGAATTCCATAAAATCTGCAAAAATCCTAATGGTATCATTTAGAATATGTTTTTGTGTGTGTGTGTTTGTAATAAGGAAAGGGAAATTTAAAGCATGGTTAGGCATGCTGAATGATCAATATGGAAATACAGTAACTGAACGGGACAAAATAAATAAAAGATGGGAACAAGACATTGAAGAACTATACAAAAGAGATGAAAGGATGGCAGATTCTTTCCAAGAAGAATCTTTTGAAGAAGAACCCACAGTTTTAGAAAGTGAATTGAGAGCTGCACTGAGAACAGTTGGGAGAAACTAATCACCAGGAGTAGATGGGATATAAACAGAGTTATTCCAAGTCACAGAAACCAGAGTCCATCAAGATTGTGCCAACAAACATGGAAAATAAAACAATGGCCCACAGACTGCAAATGCTTAATTTACATTCCAATTCTGAAAAAAAAAATGTCAAAACTGCAGCAGCTTTCGGCCCGTCACATTAATTACTCATGCAAGAAAAGTGATGCTCAGAATCTTACTGCAAAGACTGTTATGATAGTTGGAATTTGAAATGCCAGATGTTCAAACTGGATTCAGAGAACGAAGAGGTAGTAGAGATCATTTTGCAAATTTGCATTGGTTACTGGAGCATACGGGAGAATTTCAGAAGAAAATCAACTTGTGTTTTTAGATTACAGGAGAAAACAGTGAAGACTTGAAACAACAAATGAAGGTTAAAGCTGAAAGTACCAAAGCAGGATTACAGTTGAACTAGTTGTGAACAGCATATATATGATGCAAGCCGTGTAACTTGCTTGGTTGCTCACACACAGCAGCAGTATGGTCTTACCTGAAATGAATACTCTCGTGAGGAGGGGTGAAGTCTTTGGAACCTGCTTAAACACAGTTTGGAAACTCTGGCTCTTCCCATGTAAACTGCAACTACAAATCGACAGTAGATTTCAGAACTGACAGAAGCATCTATGGAATGCATGATTAATTTATTAAATTCACTACTGGGGTGATGCCTAATAGTAAAGTAAAGGTAAAGGTTCCCTTGCTTGAAAGCCAGTCAAATCCGACTCTAGGGTTGCGGTGCTCATCTCCGTTTCAAAGCCGAAGAGCCAGCGCTGCCCGAAGACGTTTCTGTGGTCATGTGGCTGGCATGACTAAACACCAAGGCACACGGAACGCTGTTACCTTCCCACCGAAGTGGTACCTATATATCTACTTGCAATTTCTTGCTTTCGAAATGCTAAGTTGGCAGGAGCTGGAACTAGATGACTTCAAAAGGATTATAGAGATTCATGGAGGAAATGTTTATCAATAGATAACTAAATGGAATATGTGTATACCCACTTGTGAACATCCAGAAGCATCTGACTGACTTGTTAGGTGAACTTTAATCTGATATAGCAAGGTGAATCTTTGGTTAGTTCCTTGATAAGAAGAGCATAAACATGCCATGGAGTCACAAATGACTCATGGCAACCCCTTCCGCAGAGCATTCTAGGCAGGAGATGAGCAGAGGTGGTTTGCCGTTTCCTTCCTCTGTGTAGCAACCCCAGTCTGCCTTGGCGGTCTCCCATCTAAGTACTGACCTCGGCTGACCCACTTAGCTCCCAGGCCCGGACAAGCTTAGGCCAAACTGGGTTAATCAGGCTGCTCGTTCCTTGATAAATACACTATATTTTCATTAATACCAAAACAGGTAGTGACATTCATGACTGGATTATGGCCACAGGCTGTAGTTCTGCATGTGGTTAGGCTGCTTAACTCCAGTTGACTTTAAAGGGAATTAATGGCCTGTGTGCAGCCTTCATGGTAAAGCAGAACCTTGACCTTCACATAATATGTTGTCTATAAAGTTTTAGAAGACAGCTGATTGTCAGCACAGTGCATTCAGATCTTCTCCTCTTCCCTTCCCCTGCAAGCTCTGCCGATTGCTGAAAAGTTGGTGGCTGGAACTGGAGGTGCTACATGGACAAAAAGAGGTAGAGGGATGGGGCTACAGTGAAGGAAGAGAGAATCAGTCCTTTAACCCACCTGCCTTTTTGTACCTGCAGTACATGCAGCTCCAGCAACTCTGGGCATCAGTTTTCTGGGGGTCAAAAGGGGCTGCTGAGAAAAGCCTAACATGGGGAAAATTGGCATCAGCAAATGGCTTCTGCTGGCAGTCAGTTGGCTACAACCCATAGAATTTAAATTTGGTGTAACTTAATTCAGATGCGTAGTGTGTGTGCATGTGCATATGTGTGTATATATAAGTCAAGTCACAGCTGACTCATGGCAACCCCATAGGGTTTTCAAGGCAAAAGACATTCAGAGGTAGTTCGCCATTGCCTGCTTCTGTGTCAAATCCCTGGTATCCCTTGGGGGTCTTCATTCCAAATACTAGCCAGGGTTGACCCTGCTTAGTTTCTGAGATCTGACAGGATCAGGCTAGCCTGGGCTATCCAGGTCAGGAGTTCAGATATATGCCTTTCCCCTTATATTATTTTTAAAAATGAAAGCTGGGAATTCCAAGAACTTGGTACACGTATTGATAATGTATCAATATAACAATATTTTATAGCCAATTCATTTAAAAAATTGCAAGCGGTGTGGGTGGCCCTGGGGAAGGATATGTCTTGATGAACATTGATGAACAAAACCTATTGAGGCAGACTCAGCACGGGTTCTGTAAGGGAAGATCTTGCCTCACCAACCTGTTAGTGTTCTTTGAGGGAGTGAACATCAGAACATCAGAGACGCCAATGTTGGATCAGGCCAAAGGCCCATCCAGTCCAACACTCTGTGTCACACAGTGGCCAGAAATACCAGTGCCATCAGGAGGTCCAGCAGTGGGGCCAGGACATTAGAAGCCCTCCCACTGTTGACCCCCCCCCAAGCACCAAGAAGACAGAGCATCACTTGCCCCAGAGCCCCTAGCTATACCTTGTGGCTAATAGCCACTGATGGACCTCTGCTCCATATGCTTATCTAATTCCCTTTTGAAGCCATCCATGCTTGTAGCACCCACCACTTCCTGTGGCAGTGAATTCCAAGTGTTAATCACTCTTTGGGTGAAGAAGGACGTCCT